CCAAAATTCAATCGCTAGATTTTCGGTTCAGAGTGGAAATTCCCTTTACATTATCTAGTTTTTAACTATTATAGTGAGAATGCCAACTCTTTATCAAATCTCCCATAATGTATCTTTAATAAACGGGACTAAAATTAAATCATAGCTTGAACATGTGTTCGGTGGGGTCTCTGCACAAAGTTCTGAGCCCGGAATAGTATTAATTTCCATTGGATCATAAAGTTTATAAAATTTGATTTCGTTTCGAATGATATCATTTCTTATGTAATATATCGGTGCTCCAGATTATTTAGACATTTAAGAGTGGACAATACCATTTTAACATCAGTTCTATACAGAGAGAAATGGAGTTTAAGCCCACTCAACATAAACTAGGTCATTTCTTTTTAAGTACATTATTATAATTTTGAAGAGATATATTTCCACAAATAAAAGATATTCTCGGTGACGTTGATTCGTCTGGTAAATCCGACTTGACGAATTGAGCCGCTTATATCCATGTCAATATGAAATGAAATAAAATGGGGTTTAACGTCCTACTGTTCTGCTCCGAACTGGGCTAATGAAGACGGGCATACGCCATACAGTGCGCTATGAGGGAAATTTTGCCCGGACAGCGGCAATACTGCAACTAGAGAAACATATTAGTGACATTAGAAAACAGATTTCAAATATTTTTCTAAAATTGAATAATGATAAAACCGAATATTTGTTATTAAGCTTAAGGCATGAATTAAGTAAATTTGTAATGACCAGTTTATATACATTCATATTTATACGTTTCGACCCATTTGTGTCAATTTCTATAGGTGCTACAGAATACAGGTTTGGCTCTTTTAAACGAGCTTTTAACTGACTCTGTATACAACTGTTAACATGCCCATAATCTTGTTGGGTTTTTTTATGATTACTTAATCACTTTTGTAAAGTGCCCCTGAACATGTTATATGAAAGGGCGCACTATAAATATGCTGTAATAATCATAATAATTTCCGACTGTCTTCGATCTAGCGTTCTCCACAGCCCGACGATACCAGAGCTAAGGGTGCAGCGGTGGCCCGGTGTATAAGGCGCTGGCTCGCTAAGCTGAAGGTCCAGGGTTCGATCCTTGTGGGCTGACAAGGAACAAACTACAATCGTTCGGTTCTGTGTTGACGTTAGCGTGCACGTAAAAGAACCCTTAATAGTTGGAATACGAAATATAAGTAGGTCCAGGCAACATGTCCCCCATAGCCACACTACATGGCGTTTGGCCGTCTTCATTAGACAAGTTGGTGCCGAATTGTATGAGAGAGAGAGAGAAATGTGGTTTAACGTCCACTCGACACAAACTATTTCATTTCAGGACTAACATATGGTTTAATTTTATTTCAATAATTCGCTTGCGCGTATGGGTCTTTAGCAGTGGAAGAAAACCGGAGGACTCGGAGAAAACCCACGAAGTTGGACAGGCGACCCTACTCTTTGTCACGTAAAACCTGTGGATTCGAAACCACGATAGTTTGACTGAATGACAGGCCTTATGATACAGCGCGCACGTGCTAACCATTCGGCCTTCCAACCCCCTAGAATTGTAGGAGGTTAAATCCAATTTTATTTCAATATCGGATCGAGCGAATGGTTAAGGATTGCATTTCAAAGTTAATTCCTTCTGTGTAAACTTCTAACAGGAAGCCATAATAAATGAGTTGATATTTTGATATTAACATGGCGTCATTTAATAACGTGTGGGACACCCCCCCCCCCCAAAAAAAAAAAAAAAACCAACAAAAAACAAACAACCCCAACAATATCCTCTGCTGATTATTATTATTAATTTATTATATTGACAAATTCTCATTTAATTGGAATTTTGAAAATAAAATATACATTTTAAGGAATGTATCAATACTACTTGTATGTATAAAAAAACTCTTTGTAACAATAATAAATTACCTTTTTCTTTCAAAAATAATATATAATATAATTTACTTAGTATATTTCTTTGAATTATGTATTTCTCTCTCTAATTACAATAATTAAGTGTACCTTAAACCTAACAGCACCATAGATAAACAAATAAACACAGACACTCATAAACAAAACAATCAATAATAAATAAATACACAATAACACAAGCACTGTACAAGCAAGGTGGAAGTGGGCGTTTGGCAAGGTAAACGATTTCAGGTGATTTTTTTTATAAAACAAATATATGACATTATTAAAATATATAAAGGAATGATTTAGCTTTATTCAGATCTTTTAAAATATATTTTTGGGATTCTATGGGGAAGTTCGGTGACCTTTAGTATGATCTGCGATTTTTTGTCGGCTTAATTCCGAAATTTTATCAGAATTAGCCACAGACTGGTGACAATGTCGCATGATGTCGCACAGTGAATGTCGATATTTATCAGCCTATTCCAACCGACTAATAATGTTTTTAAAGTCCATTGTGTTCTTAAATCTTGTTGAACAAAGATCCACTCTTAAAAATTCCTGATGTTCAAAGATTTTAACAATACAAGGTGCAATAATAGCCGTATATAATATTAACTGTGTCATATCCAAAATTGTGAACACCATCTAAACATCAGTACTGCGTTCAGCACAATCCTGACTTACCTCAGCGTTACAATACAGAAAGTTAAAATGCATTGTGAATAATTATGCAAAGTTCTAGTCATGGAGAGGCTTTGGAATATTATAATCTTAGACAAATAATAAATACTGTGAAAAATATGCATAAAGTTTACAATAGCTTAAAACGATGTTAATTCTTAAAAACAAAACAATTCACAAGACCTTAATTCTTAAAAACAAAACAAGGACAGCTACCTTCTGTTTTTATAGTAAGTCTACTGGAAGAGAATCGTTGTCTTTTAAAGCGGCAAACATCATTCATACAAATATTATAAAATATTAGTTCTGAGATAATCAAATTAAATGTCTTCTTTACAAATTATTAAATTTCTATAAATGGAATGACTTGTTTAAATAGAGTTAAATTTTGTCAAATTCACTAGCTTTGAGATCGAGTTGAACGTTAAGTCCTAAATTGATTTTGTCACAAAATATTACAATTATATGATGATTTATTAGTACATATCTAATCTACTACTTTATTAATTTGGTGTTAAATCGTCATATCAAGCGTTATTTTCAACAATACACAGGTTCCAAATTTTAACAAATCCGATAACTGCATTTAATTACAACTTTTACTGTGTGGGTCTCCTCCCCATCTCATCCCACTAAACACAATAAACCTAAAGAGATGTTCCTAATCTAAAGTTTGTTCTGAGATGACATTGAAGACTAGATAATTATAATAATAATAACCGCATGATTAATGACTAGAATTCCTGATTTATAGCAAGGAATTATTCTTAGTAATCTGGTAATGTCCGAAATTCAAATTTTCATCTCATCAAACTTCATATATGTCCAGAACATTTTTCAGTTTGGCCCATTCTTTAAATCTAAATTCTCTTTCATGTTAAACATACTTTTATTAAATATCATTTTGGCATTTTGATACACTTTAGATATTTAGTTTATGAATAAAGCAAATGTAACTAATAAATTCAGACACACGTGGTAACAAACATATTTATAAATGAAAGAGATATGTGGTAAATTACATAGAATGATTTATCTCCCTTTTCAATTTCAGGTATATCCAATATAAAGATGTGGGTCAGGTGTGACACAGCACGTATACACATAACTCAGTGGGCAAATTCATTTGTCTTTTTCTTTAACATAATTAGATACTTATCAATTTGATTTTGGCAAGAATATAACGGACGTAATTATATGTAATTAATACTAGGTTAGTATTTGGTTTGGTTGAACTGTCTTAATGATTTTTACATAATACAATACAAAATCTAATAAAAATTAGGGTAAGATTTAATCAGATTAATGCAATAACGGAAAGCTGTGTTGTTAAGTGATATTTGTTTGGATCGAAACTATACTTATTCTTAAGTTTCTGGTCAAATTGTGAATCTCACATTGGAATTATCAGCGAATGTGAATTTAGCGCCAATTCTTTAAAACACAGAATACAGATAACCATACAAGTAACGATATAATTATAACAATTGGTCATTTTCAATGACAGATCTGATATTAAAACCATCTTAATTGGTATTAAAGATGCATTATGTAAGATTAACATAAAGTGTTGGCCGCCCTTGCTATAACAGTTCAATAGCTCGAATGTTCTAATCCATTCAACATCTAATCCATCCGTCATGTGAATAAATGTCTAAATAATTTATATAACATTTAAAGCCTGAAGGCAGATTTAACTGTTACGTAGTGCATCTTTAGTTGATTATTGCAGCGTATAAAACTGTCATGGCGGATACTATTTCCAGTCTTAGATATATAGCAAAATATATTTATATAATTTATTAACTTTGTATTATCAATTTCTGTCACAGATAACTCTATCCAAGCTTGTAATATTAATTTTAAGTTACTTATTGTCTACCTATAGAAGGCACACATATATCCCAGTGATCAATTTCTTTGAAAATAAATAACGCGTTTCTTTGCTTATATTAAATAAATAGAACTGTATTATAAATTATAAACGTAACCAACAGTACACACATGAAAGATTTCCATGCATGTAATAGGAAAACATCTTGTCTTTATATTGAGTTGGTTTTTTTTAATTTTGTAGAAATGTTCATGTAATTCGAACAACTTGCGTTGGTCTAAATAAACTATTTAATGTATAACTCTTACGTCATCGTGCTTTATGTGATCGTTGCACATCTGTCGATGGTTCGATGACACTACAAGGCGTCTGTCAATGGTACATGTACGATGGCACTAAAATGGCGTCGGTCGATGGTACATGTACGATGACACTTAAAATGGCGTCTGTCGATGGTGACACTAAAATTGTGTGAATTAACGACAAAACAAGTCGCCAAAAATTCGGCAAAACTGATATAGTGCAAATGTGAAGGAATATCAGCTATCATCTGTGTGTTTTTTTAGTCATCGGATCCTATCAACGATTGTTAGATTCTTTTTTCTAGTATACTAGTGCTAAATTTTAATAAGTTAAATATATATACAAAACATACAGCGCACACACATTTATTTACAAAATATGACTAGCGACGATGTTTTTGACTCAGCAGCGTGCCTCTGGATAACAAATCCAGAATAACAATTTAAAAAACAAAGAAAAATCGCATTTTCGTAAACCAGCAGTAAACAGTCATGTTAGAAAGCCACATTTCTCAGCTTCGAGTTTGTTATCTTGTCACACAAGTCATTCGCATTCTGTACTTCGTTTAAACATCGACATTTTGTTTTATTTAAACCATCTACACTCTTGTTCTTGTCATCTTTATTTTAGCTTTGTTTTTGTTTTTTTTTTACATTTTTGACCATTTCCATTTTCTTCTTTTTATTAACCATATTTTATATTCTTCGTCATTTCTGGACAAGACAACTATTTTCTGCATAACCAGAACAGTCTCAATTCATTTGCTGCTGATATTTCCAATAAGAGCTTTACGAATTACATCACAGGGGGTGTGTAAGATATCACGGGGGTATTTTAGCACTATTGTCGGACTCGTTCGATAAAGTTCTAATTCCGATTGAAGTGCGCGTGTGGAAACAAGTATCTAAACTTAACACCTGACAAAACATTCGACACCACACGACCACACCACACATAGCTGCCCAAAATATTAAAGTTCGGTGTCAGTGTCCCTGTTTTGAGCTTCATTTGGTGTTTTCAATCACTATCACATTGACACTGTTAAATATAAACAAACGCTCTTTTAAAACTGTGACGTTTCTCACAAGGTTATGTGACGTTTTTCACGCGCGCGATCCAGGGCCTTGCGAGAAAATTTATACACTAATCTTCTTCCCTCTACTCTTTCTAATAAGCCTCGTTTATAATAATGTCTGAAAAAATAAAAATCGAAATATTTTCATTTTACAAAAAACTTAGACAAGGTGTTGGAAAAAACTCCCTTCATCTGTGAAAGGTGGCTGGTAGATAAGTGTAGTCCCGAATAAAGCATGTGACATGCACATGAGAGTTCGTACCATTAATATCGTTTTTGTGTTCTTTTTTTCACCCATCGATACTCGAAGCCATGAGTCTGCTATTTATGGACCCGGGATTTCTCATACACCGTTCATTGTAACACAAGGGGTGAGCTATAATTATCTAATGGTGGTATTGCTTAAAGACGCTGATGCCATTTACATATTTTGGGAACAATATCTAATTTGCCACTGCTTAACGGAAAGTGAGTATCTAACATTTACATAAAAAAATATCAATGGTAGATAGTCTCCTGGAATGAATTCAATCGGATTTAAACGAGGCCCATCAAAAGATTTTACCAATACTAATAGGTGGCGCTGGTTTAGTTTATATCGGCAGCAGTAATTTGTAAATACTAAATGGAATTAAACAGATATTCAACGTTCACCATTTGAGTAATTGAACAGCAAAAATAATATTTTAAAGTTAAATTCAAATAAGTATAATGTGGTATTAAATGTCTAGTAATTTACCTCATTGCCCGGCTAAGTTTTTCATACGTCATATTCTCATTGTTTTTGAAACCGCCCCACAGTTGTGCTACGGCTTCGGATTGGACGAATCTAAAGACACCCTCTCTTTGGTTTTCCCATCGGAGAAATTGTGGATTGTAGGCAGGATTAATCAAGCAGTCGTAAATGAATTCCCACAAATGTTGATTCTTTGCTGTAAAAATAGATAAATAGATGCCTGAATATAAATATGACGTCAATAAGCGTGCCTCTTTCTCAAAGAGGCATTATCAATTTAGGCAGAAAATAACTATAATAATTTTATTTAATGATACATTATGTAAGATTTAGATAAATGGTTGGATAAGGAAAAAGAATGAAAACATAAACGATGGTCATACCCTTTTTGTCTTTATGTGGCCTGGACTCTTCGTCTCCGGGTAAACTCTTGTTCCTAGGGCGACCGGGTCGTCTCCTAGGCAATGCCTGTGGATATGTGCTGCCTGGGAAACAGCAAGCAGTCCTAACCGGTGCTGTGTTGGGATAACCGGACATAAAAGCGTCAAATTCTGGACTGCATGGGTCTACTGTAAACAGAAAGTAATTATGAAAACATGCGATCAGTTAAATATATTTAACGTATGTACATATGTGTAATAAACCGATGCTAATCATTTGTATAGCAACTAAATATGGTTTAATTTTTCTTTTTCAATCAGCAATTTCATTGAGGGTCAGCGTGAAGATTCTAGCCCGGTACTGCATCGTTTGTCACGAATGTAAATTTTGATGTTATTCTGGCACAATCTTCCTTTCTTGTACGGTATACTGGTTATTTCATAATTGCTCACTAGGTATTATTTGTTAGGTATTGAAAAAGAACTTACCGGTTGGTTGAGGTACTGCCGGGTGATCATTGACATCAAAATCATAGGGACCAATATCAATAACGTCACAAGGCATTGGTTCTTGTCGCTCAGTTTTCCAGTAAACATCGGTATTACTATTATAACCTGTAGGAATAATGAAATGGAGTAATTATTCTGACATACCACACATCCCATTTGACATTTATATATGCCATTTGATATTAATATGTATGCTTTGATATTAATGTATGGTTTGACATTATTATGTATGGTTTGACATTAATATTTATGCTTTGACATTAATATGTATGCTTTGACATTAATATATCTTTGAATTTCCACATGTATAATGCTTTATTTTTGCTAAAAGCAACATTGTTCTCATGTTTAAACACCCCGAAATGAACAAAATATCGAAAATGACATGCCTACTTCTCGTTAAGGAATTGGTAGATATTTCCAAGAATTAGGGTAGTCAGATTACCGCGGTCGATTTCCTTGAATAGGCGTAAACAGCGTCATAAGGAAGGTCTTAACTTCTATATTTAACGACAAACCTTGACATAATAATATACATACCGTTATAATTTGAGTGTTCCTGTTTCCTGTTTGTCATGGTGTGATAAGCAGGACTACCAAAATGGCTTCTAACGGGAGATGATGTGAGGTTGTTATTACCGTTATTGTAAGGTGACAATTCTTGATAATCTGCAGTAATATCAACTGGCTTTTGGAACGACACTGATAAAACAGGAAAATATTGCATAAGCATCATAAAACAATTTGGGCAACTTACTGACGGATTGTTGTCAGTTCTGGAAAAAATTTTAAATTGTAAAGGAATATCCTTTCCGGTTTTGAAAATCTTGTGTAGTAATGACGTCATTAATCATAAGTCTGCTGGTCCAATAGATTATGAGATTATAAACAACGGTACTGCCCAGCAATAAACACATTATACATATAACGTCTATTCATAAACTCCGACATTACGACTTAACGTATGTAACAACCGGTCTAACGAGGACGATCATATGCCATATGGGAGACATTTTGCCCAAAAAGCGGCATTTCCGCCTACTCTTCGTCTAATTCGAACTGTGTACCCGGGACTTGGATTATTATCCCATTCGAATGACATGACGCTTATTCCTCACTAGACCATTCACCCTGCGTCCCTTACAGAGGGGGAAACCACCGTGCGCTTCTGTTCGATTTACCGTATTAGTTGTAATTTTTGTTTTCAATTAAACTTTATACTTACGTCCAGTTAATAGATGCTTCAGCATTTCATACAGAGATTTGCCATATTTGGGTTCCAGATTAATGAATTCTTCGACACTTAGTCGACAAAGTTCTATTCCACATAAGTTCTGGAATGCTTCTGCCCGTAATTCAGACATGTTGAGGCCCTTTTCTTGGCCTGTATAAATGAGCCAATCTAGAACCTCTTCCGAACTCCAGTTCTCTGGGTGTTTCCGTGTCCAACTTAACAACTGATCTTGTTCTGAAAATAAGAAAGATGACCAGTCATCAACAACCCGCGCCCTTGAATTTGTTTAGACGGCATAAGGAAAAACAACTTCTTTATGTTATTGGTAATCAATATAAACATATATCAGATTAATCTCGTATTGCAACACATGGGATATCAATGGGACTAGTCAGAAGATTCATACTCTGATCATAGTAGCTCAGCAAGGCAGTCGCTACTCCCTGTAAGGTTTGCACAACAACCTTTGTCTACCTCAATCAGCTGCTGTATGTTAAACATTAAGCTTATAAATCAGAAAATAAAAGACTATAATAGGTTGATGTTTGTACAAAGTTTCAAAAAGATTTCTTGAACGGATAATGAAATATGCTCGGGACGGAAGGACGAACATCAGAAAATAAAACAATAGGTTGATAAATGCAAAAGTGTTAAAAATGTATCTTGAACAGTTTCTGCTATATGCTATAGAATAATAATTATATACCAAAAACTAAGCCAAAACACAAAAATTATTAAATCCCAGAAATCCCAAATCAACAAAAGGCACAACTACTATAATAGATTGATGTTTGTACAAAGTTTCGTGAAGATATCATGAATGGTTTATGAGATAGGCCCTACGCTCCGGAAACAAAATTGTACACCAAAAACTAAGTGAAATTTATTTTCATGAAAACACAACAAATATAAATCCAAGAAATTCCTCAATGACAAAAGGCACAACTACTGTTATAGGTTGATGCTTGTACAAACTTTCATAAAGATATCTTTAGCGGTATATGAGATATGCTCCGGAAACAAAATTGTACACCCCAAACTAAGTCAAAACATCTAACACAAACAAATATTGTCAATCTTTAAGAAGGCCAGGGCTCGCATACTATTTTAATAGTAAAATATATTTACTGGATATGTGAGAAACCGTACTAAAATAAATATTACAAGAAACTTATTGTAATACTTTCTGAAGAAGTCGTGCCATTTAAAGTTGATTTCAAACCGCCATCTTTATGGATCTTAGAGGAATAAATAATCTTGCTTTCTTTTTCGTAACTAAGTGTCCTTCACCAAGTAATTAATAAATTCAACATACCGTTAAACACATCATCTCTGGAGCCATGGAATCCCTTTTTGGACAAAACTGTCTGGAAAGGACTGTCATTGGAGGACCCTTCACAAGATCGTCGCTGATTGGGTAGATTATTATTATACATGCAATTATATTCTGATGTGGTGAAGTATGGCGATGGAGATGACGTGACACTCTGTGTGCTGCTGCTGTATGACGTCACTGGGATATGTGAAGAATAACTTGGCGAGTTTGGTGAAAATATTCCGTTAAAGCTTTGGTCAGCCATGGCACTTAATGATTGGAGAGAATCGTAATTATTGGAAGAATATCGAGTATCGTTCTGAGCCTCGATGGACGGAATTCTGTATGGACAATCTATCTCATTATTTATACCGGAAAACTGAAAATTTAAAATAAAATAAAAGTAAAAATTGGGCATGTCTACACCCTTAGTGCATCAAGCATCTTTTTGAAAAATAGATCTATTTAGCTAAAAAAAAAATTGCTTTATGATTTATATGCTACATTTTCACCACACCATTAACATATTCTGCGGCTTAATATATCTAAAATGTGTAGATAACCGGAATTTCGAATAGTGTAACAACACATAGCTTTTGTGAAGCTTACTCTTGAAACTTTCCTACAAAAGAATACAACTCTCAACACCTAGAGCTCTGTGCAAATATATGACTATTATACACCCATCATATAAAGTATAGCAATAGAGCAATTTACCACAAAAATTCCCCCAATAGTCCAATATTCGATTTGTGTGTAAACTTCCTAGCCAGGATTAGTCATTTTATTGCATATACAAATAATTCGTATTTAAATATCATTTTACTTCCGAAACTATTATTTGATATAATTAGCCAACGCGACAACTATTTCATCCTTGTTTAAAAAAACAAAAGAAAATTAAGCGAGAAAATGGTCTATATAAATGTCTTGTAATGGCAAAATAGATATAATGAAATATATAAACGCGAAAGAATATAATGAAGAGAGTCAAACAAAGCATCGAAATATGACCACGCAACAGATAGCTATGGACAGTAGCTTATCCGAAAGTAAAACTTGGATGGTGACCAAATTTGATAAGGAGCTTTGACGCCTTCAGGATATCCGATCTCTATCGTGTTCGCAAGCTTGATAAAATCCGTTATAAACTGTAGCTCGCGGTTTTCGAAAATGGGGACATTACTCTGGAACAGACGATCGCGGAACGCAGAAAATCAATGGGGTTCGTTCAATGTTTCGCACCAAATTTAAAAAATGTCTGTCACAGACTGTAGCATTTTTTGGCTAAAGGTTGGTGGTGGGGAGGGCCTCTGTAACACAGGAACAGAAGATCGTGGAACACAGAAAATCCACAGGAATCTACCTCTCGTGAGCCAAATGCTTCGCACCATATTTGAGAAGAATCTGTCAAAAACTGTAGCATTTTTCAGCAAGACGTCTATACTCAGGAATGAAACGACGTAGAATGCTTAAGATCAATAGAGTTCGTCCTCTCAAGGAGGTATAACTATAACTTAGCGGAAAGGTAGCGAAATGTTGAATATCGATAGAGTTCATCCACTCATGCTTCACACCTAATTTGATCCTAAAAAAATCTGTTAACAGGCTAACTGTTGACGGACGGTCGGCATAATGCTTCAGCGCTGAATGTGGGTATGAAATAGAATAAATTTGGGTGTGGGAAATCAATCGTGACTACCTAAATCAATTTAGACCCCTTGTTACTTTCCTGTTATTAGACGTATATTTAAGGAAAACTGAATGCTTATTGTATACTGTGCAAAGGGAAACGGAACAATATTCTTATATTTAGAATGGTTGATCACACTAGTGTGACTTCCACAACTGTATTATAATTAACAATATAAATATTTCTGCAATATTCTAATTCCCCGTCTCATTTCGTCAGTTGAGTGGTCAGGGAAGATAATATGTATTGATTAAAGGTATACATAACCGAATGAAATGGACTTATGGTGGGCAATGCGTTTCCGCCTACACTTCTTCATATTCCAACTATAAAGGGATCTGCACACGAAACTAGACACTTTCCTTGTTAGAACCACATGCAAATGGGAACCCGACTTCAAAAACCCCGCAGATTCTTCTCTGCCCACTCCGGTATCTCTAGTAGGCCTACATGTATATGTTACCACATTTCAATATTGACAAAGGCAATACTAAAGTTGTCACCAGAATCACAATGCGGTCAAAGACGAGCACCATTCCAAGAATGGGGATATGTGTGTTGGACCTCGAGGTTACGTCCGCCTCCTTTCTAATCAACCAATCAACAATTTGGAACGAGGAAGTTATGTTTGACTACTGTTTACAAAAGTTGAAGTATTCTACTCAGGTCTTCTCAGTTTTCCACAAGTATCCCCATTTACAAAATATGCATTCATTCCAAAAGTTTGAATACCGATTGGATAGTCAGACCCATTATTATACAACTAGGAAGTTTGGAATCCTAACACTTTTTAGAGTAGGTTTTTTGTATAAAAAAAATACAAAACAAAAACTCAAACGACTATTTGGCTTGAAGAGAATATACTTACATTATAGAGGGGACTGGCTGAAGGCATGGTGTTTTCAAGTGGCTCTTCGCTCAATGGTCGGGTGTTGCCAGTCGTTGACAAAAGTCGCAATTTCAGTTCTAAAAAATAAAAAAAATAAAAAAATTGAATATTTAAACAACTGAGTAAATAAAATTTAGACACTGTGAAACTTTGTTAACCAACTTCCTGTTCAATGCTAAATTTCTAAAAATGTCCGCTATATACACTAAGATTTTGACTTCAGAATTTAAAAGTGAAAATATTTATTAATGCAAATGTCAAAGTAGAAAATAAAACCCGATAAAACACATAACCAAAACATAAATAAAAATTGTTATTTAAATACAAAATGTTTAATTGCGTAGGTAGATAGTTCGACAAAATGGTTAATGACTGATTGTAGCCTGTCATTATCAAATACCAATATTATTACTGATAATACGAAAGAAAATATATTAACCTATTTACGAAACCATTCATCATAATAGTGTTACCCATCAATTAAGAAACAAGCGTTTGCCATGCAAGATGCGCTCACATTCTGTAAGAGATGAACAGGGAACAAGCTAAAAAAGGTCGATTTTACGTACATTCAGGAGCCATAATCCAGGATGTTACGGTCCGACATGCTTCAATATCGAAAGGAACCGATATATTTTAAGTTTCATCAAAATTAGATAAAAGTTGTGACCTCTAGAAGGTCCGCATTCTTGGTATCGCACACTTTTGCACTCTTTGCGTACAAGGTGCGGCCATTTTGGCGGGCATTTTCAGTCTAATTTTCACGAAATTCAAACTCAACAATCATTACGATGTAATGGTAATATATTTGAACGGTTTTTAAAATTAAATAAACATTGTGACCTCTAGAGGTTCCATAAGCTAAAAGCGTAATTTTCCGTACAGTCAGGTGCCATAATCCAGGAACCTATGATCGCATATGCGCTAATAGCGACAGGAACCGAGGTCTGTGGGTTATAAACATATACATGTATTTTAAGTTTCGTCAAAATCGGTTAAAAATTGTGACCTAGTGTCCACATGCTAAAAACATGATTTTTGGTACAATCAGGGGCTATAATCCATGAAATTATGGCCCGATGCATGACAACATCGAACGGAGCCGAGATCTGTGGGATATAAACCTATAATTGAAGTTACGTCCAAATAGGATAAAAATTGTAACCTGTAGAGTGTCCACAAACAAAATTTGAACGGACGTCCGGACACACGGACAGATAGGGGCGACAACAATATATGTCCACATGAAAATGTGGGAGTATAAAAATACATATCTGTATATTATAATGTGTTGTCTGCGATATCACCTCGGTGGAAGCGGACGTAAAATACAACTAACTCACACACATATAATGTCTTCACTAATAATAAGGTAAATTTAAACCATGCTCATTGAAACAAAATAAATAATCCCACGACAAGGACCAGTTTACTTAGTTCAATAATAGTCAGAAGTTCCGAAAATAATCAAAATAGTTCATTCAAATAAATTTATGAATTATAAGACAGGAGATTAATAAATTGCATACGGTTTTAGATCCTATAAACACCAAACATCATTGTCACCAGTCAGTGTTTTAATCAATGTATATAAACCGGACAGTACTGTTGAACAGAGTCACGTTTCATTACAACCTACAACTTCGTATATTCTTCTGCATAATAATATGTATAGGGACAGGACATTTTTAACTTTGAAGCGTAACTATATATATTTGTCATTAAGACTACAGAGCTATATGCCACAAATGCATATCTGCAACTGATGAAGTGAATATAAATAAGTCATTTTCTTATCACAAAACTGTGCTTTACACTTTAGGAATCAATATCACAATTACACAAAATTGAATAATATATATATTTATATATATATATATGATTTACAAAGTATGTTGAGTCTATGTATAATACCTTTCTGAAAGGGTGTTAACCAAGGTTCGCTTTCCTCGTCTATCATAATCCATGCATTGCTTCAATAACCTTCACATATTACCCATATAATTGTTAAATGGAACTGTTAGTAGCTTCGATGAAAGTTAATACACACAAGGCTGCATGTCACACACTAGTTTTATAAAATATTGTTAAAGGGCATTATAGCATGACTATACGGATGTAAAAGAGCTTTGTTCTATTGGCCAATGCCTTTCACGTGTGAAACCTTTAATACGCGATGAGTCAATTTTCTATTGATGGTTTTTTATTTATAACGTACTTAAAAAGATTGTATATTTACATAGAAACTTATCAATCTAAACCACGGGCAAAGTATAATTAATTCTTTTATGAAAATAATTATCTGAAATCACGCATTCCCCCGTTTATCGCCATAAATACTTTAGTGAAGTTACGAAATTTTAATAGAAAATATATTCCTATGGTGAATGGCATTATATACGAAAGTACAAACGGACAGTACCATCTCCTGCTCTAAAGTATTGAAATGAAATGGGGTTTAACGTCCTACAGTTCTCTGTAACGATTGAGCTAATGAAGACGGCCTGCTCTTAGTTGGCCTACTTGTATAGCGAATTCAAAAAGCCAGGGGTTGTTTTACGTGCATGCCGACGGGAACTCGCTATTTCGTCGCATCACAAAAGATATCATTTATTATTTAAGTAGTTTTTTAAAAAATGCGATTAAGAATCTCCTGGTATAAAATTATTATACCTATTGGCTTACTTTTCACGACATTAAAAAATTTTAATTTTAATGAAAAATTACATAAATTTTGAGTATTGATTTTGTGGGTTATACATACTTCACAGATTCGTGACCTTCTAGACAACTTCTTTCAAAAATTGAGAACATCTACAAATATTTTTACTACACATAGCTTTCTGTATTACCTTTTGGCTAACTATTTTTCATTTTTGTCGGAGTCCGCAAACTGCAGTTTCTTTCTTGCACAGGACCTTGGGCCTTTAATGCTAATCAAATTGCTAACGCGCTGTTATCCCCGCTGTCTCCATTCATCCCAACACACGATTTTCAGCATTAGACTCACCGAAACAAAACTCCCAAACTCCTGTGTCTTAATATTTTCAGTGAAAGTGCAGATAATCCCCACAAAAAGCGTGCCGACAAAATCAACCAAACTGTAGAAATCGGGTGCAATGTCCAAGAAGATAAGCTAGGTTCAAACTCCACAAGAACCCACGGATATAATATTAATATTTGTAAACACGATTATGCCAAGTTGTTTCATACACTGACTGTAATATACCTAATATCTCAACTTAGTTGAATAAACAAACCATTTTAACTGTGAATTGGACTAGGCTTTAAAATAAAGATACTGTATCCTACGTCAAGTCAGTGAACCAAGACGCGAAACTTGTCGCTTTATCATTCTTATACCAGAAATAACTACCCATAGCCAGGGTGAATGACTAGACCCTAGTGACCTGACCTGTATCAGTACTTGATGATTTCACAGATTTGGATTGACAATTTGATAGAAATGATTGGAAATCTGTCTGTAACCATTCCAGGTGGAACGGACCAAATCATCAACCCGGACATTTGGTTACATGTCACTAACCATCTAGGATCTACACTTTCATCATAGTCAACACGTTTGGTACTATTATATCACTGATCCGAGATAACCATCTGATCACAAGTCCCGAATGACAACCCATTTAGCTGTAAGATGTCGCCGGGTCTCGTACGCGAGGCAGGTGTTCCCTTCATAGAACTTAAGATACCACCTTTCGTGTGAAGATTATACAAAGCTAAAATGAAACTGTAAAATTTTGCACATAAAATAAATTCATGTGATTGCCGCGGCATAATTCACAATTTAACTTTTATATTTAGTTTGCGCTTTTCGATTAAATATAAATGTCAGCAATTTGTGCACGATACTCTTATACAAGCATATTATACTCACAAAATTGAACAGATTTTAGATAATGACCTTTATCCATAGCAGTAAATTTCTATATGGGTTTCTTTTAATCAACAAAGTTTATATATATACCTTATTTCAGCCATTTTCATAATGTATACTTTGAGGAATGTTTTTTTATTCTAAAAATATACACCACGCGAGTGGATGACAGCGGGAAAGAAGTTCTACTGGCTCAAAAACAGGCAACGTCAAGAAGAAAATGTTTGTCTAAAAGGTTTTCCAGTTACCCAATGAAAAGCCTGAGAACTTCATTGCATCACGGTGGCCTAGATTTATGGCCAATGGAGCTGCTTGAACCCCATGAAGGTATGATATATTTGATGGGTCTTAATGCATTACGTCAAGCCAACTCTGTCAAGTCTGCATACTAAGTGTGTAATTTATGCGTTCAAACAAAAACAAAGGACACTATTCTCGTTTGACACGGTTTATATACATATATACATACATACATATATATACTATAGACCACCTACACAAATTTAGAGCCTTCTGTTTACTAACAGTAGTTTGTCGATTTTGACAGGAATTATAACTGTTCAAGATAGAAGGCGTGTTCCAAAATATATATTTTTGAAAGGCTGGCCTCAACATTGGTCATACGATAACTTCACCTTACTCCTCTTTTACCATATATGATCTTAATCTGATGTAACCAATCCCTTCTTTACAAAATCTATCGAAAATTATGTAAATGATAAATGACAATCTGAAAGTTTTTACCATTAGTATTAAAGATATGTGTCATATGATCGGAAGTTACACCTTGATGGGTTATTTTTCTAGCTCCATCGGTTCGAAGTCCGAACGCTCGAACGCGTGTACGTACAAATGTTTGGTAGCTAATAGCACGGTCGTCAAAGGTACACCAACGACTTGTTGACATTATCCACATAGAACTCCAATAATAAAACAACGTTTTTAATGGATTATATATTAAAGATTGGCTTCCTGGATCATAATTGGTTTACGTGTACGACTCTCTAAACATTCTTATCGGAAAACCTGATGTTGTTTTTTTTATAATCTTTCAATGGCATTTAGCGATTGAACATAATATAACACAACACAGTGATTGTTATCCATAGAACTGTGTTGTGTTATGTTTTTTTTATTATTTTGGAATGATCGTGAAAATTAGGCTCAGATTGCCACAAT